ATAAGACAGATCAGTAGAGAAAAGCATACAAATTTGATATATTTTGCAGGACATGAGAGCCCTCATTAAAATTGAACATTTACATGTATACTGAATTAGACAAAGAGTAATAAGTTGTGAAAGATAACTAATTATATGGGGATGCTTGAAGGTAAGAGGTTTTTTTAAAAATTATTTAAAATATTTTGTGCTGCTGGAGATTGCATATGCTAAGCAGTACTCTTATCACTGAGCTGTATCTCCCAGCCTCGTAAGAGTTATTTTAATGTGGTCTATACAGAATTCTCTGGGCCTCAACCTCCCATCCTTGGTGATAATAACATTATTTTTCCTTCTGCTACAGGGAGGGCATCTTTCTTCTTTTTTTTGGCAGTATTGAGGCTCGAACTCAGGGCCTCACACTTGCTAGCCTTGCTAGGCAGGCACTCTACCACTTGAACCACTCAGCTGGTCCTGTTTTTTGTATTGGGTTTTTCAAGACAGTCTCATGAACTACTTACCTTGGGCTGGCTTCAAACCCCAATCCTTTTGATTTCTGCCTCCTGAGTAGTTAGGATTACAGGCATCAGCTATTGGCACACAGCCAGGAGGGCATTTTTCACACGGGAATTTCATCTCTTAACTTTTGGGAAACAACATGAAAGAGTGATCTTGTACCTGCTATTTTTCAAATGCCTTTAACTCAAAATAATCAATGTGCCAAAGTGGCATATTTTAGGATGGCATATTCTTAACTCCTTATTCTTCATATAAAGATGTGATATGATCTCCAAACTATGTTATTAGGTACCAAAAACCAGGATCAGAACAGTGTATGTATGCTACCATCTGTGGAGAAAACAAAAGCATGCTGTGAAAAGAAAATAATATGCATATCTGCATGTATTTGAATATACTGTCTTTGTAAGGACACCCAGGAAACCTGTAATACTGGTTGTCTACCAAGAGGGGACAGGAAGTACTGTGTAACCTTTTATAGTTTTTAAATTTTGAGCCATATATGAACTTTTTTAGTAAAATCTTTTAATGAAAGCAAATAAAAATTAAAACAAATATGTAATCAATGGCTAGACTAGGTTGTGATTTCTTGCAACTAGTGCTATCAAAACTGCTTTCAGCTGTGGGCTGGCTCAAGCAGTAGAGCACCTGCTTAGTAAATGGGAGACTCTTTCAAACTCCAGTACTGCCAAAAAAAATCACTTTCAACGAATTTTGTTCAAATTTTGTTTTGTTAACATTGTATTATTGATGCTAGTTAGAACTTGTGTCACTGTGATCCTATGGCTATGATGCGTTTTTCTTCATTATAGTAATAATTATCTTATGGGCTCAATCTTAAAATTTTTTCATGAAAACAAAGCACTTGAATCAGCTAATTTAACCTTTGGGAGTTATATATTTGGCTATTTAGATTCTGTTAAGTATTTTACTTAAAATTAATGCTCAGGAGGCATATTGGGAGTTAGTTAAGAACATGAACAAGTTTAGTGCTATTTCTGCCAATTGCTAGCTTGCAACTCTGGGCAAGTAAGCCCCATTCATTCAGCTTTTAAATTAAGATAGTACTGGTACATACTTCATAAGGTTTCTGTGATGATTACATAATTTTATTGGTTAACACTTACATTGTACCTACTATGTGCCAGACACTATTTAATACATTTTCCACTTATGAATCCTGTTAATTTTCATAGCAACCTTAAATTGTAGGTGTTATTATCCTTCCCATTTTATAGAAAAGAAAACTAAAACACACAGAGTGAAGAAATTTGTTCAAAGTCTACAAGCTAGGAAATGGCTGGAGCTAAGGGTCAAACTGAAGCAGTCAGGTTCCAGATCACAATCACAGTGCTGTGTTGGATGCTTAGCTCATTGATGAGCTCATTGGGACCTTTCAACAAGTTCCAATAATATCAGTAATATAATAATATTATTATAAAGAGATTAGGTATTCATCATTGCAAATTAAGAAAGTGAAGCTAAAGAAGTAAAGAATAATAAATACCATCTTAAATCTAACCCCTCAGAAAATGTTAGCATTTATATATGCATATTCATATACTTTGAAAAAATAAAAATAGCATTATATTGTAGCCTGTGTTAGTCATATACTAATATGCTGTGAGTTTCTTTTTGCTTAGTTATTGAAGACTGGACATGGTGGCTCAGCCCTGAGTAGCCCTGCTACTCAGGAGGCAGAAATCAGGAGGATCACAGTTTAAGTCCAGCTTGGGTAAAAAAGTTACCAAGAGCTTATCTCAACAAATAAGCTGGGTGTGGTGGTACATGCTGTCATCCCAGCAGTATGAGAGACCGTAGTTAGGAGGAGTATGGTCCTAGTCAAAAAAATAGCAGACCCTATCCAAAAATTAAGTAAGGGCAAACAAATGGCTCAAATGGTAGAGTACCTGCCTAGCAAGCACAAGGCCTTGAGTTCAAATCCAGTGCCACCAAAAATATTTTTATTTTGGCCTTTTGCTTCAATTTTTAAATGGCTTAGTATACTAAACTCAATTGCTGTTTCTCTTCAGACTTGGCATTCTTTTCAGAAGTAAGCAAAGGAATTCTTTTGAGTCATTGTTAAGGGTGAAAGACACCTTACCTTTGCTAGATGGTATTGTGGAGCATGAATTAATCCGTGCCTTAAATTGTTGCCTTTATAAGATTAAGACTCTTATAAAGGAATTCCTTACTGACATTGGCAATGGAGAGAACTCTAGCTTCTAGGATTTTCAGGAGAAAACGTCCATAACTGGCACAAATTAAAGGTTTTTATTGTTGTTGTTTGTTTGCTTTTACTTTTAGCAGACTTTATGCCCAATGCTGAATCTACTTTTGAAATAGCCAAATTTTAGTGTTAAAATGCAAAGCAGTGAGGAGGATGTAACTGCGAAGAGATACAAAGATATGTGAGACATGGCTTTTCATTAACTTTTAACTTTGTTAAAGTTAACATATGTTGTTAGAAAGTGTGGTCCCTTGGTTTACACTTTCCCTTAGGAACTTTCTAGTCACTTCTGCCATCCAGATATTCTGTTCCAAATCTGGAGGATCCATCATTCTTCATCTTATTCCCCAAAGCCTTGCCAAGACCAGGCTCTTAAACTGAAACATGTTTTTTCTAGAAGCTTGGAGATTACAAAAAGAAAACAAATATGCAAATCATTACTCCCAGATAATGTGACTCACTAGATGCAGTTCTGCTCTCCTGCATGCTAGCTCATCTTTATAGAACTTCGGAAGAGGAGAAGCTCAGAGCTGTCTGTCTGTGTAACTTCTGGCTTCCTCCACCAGTGTGTACCCCCAAGCACAGCTTCACTTTGAAACCCAAGGCCAAGTACATGGCCTGTTTTCTGTGACTATAAGAAATGGGTACTTTATAAAGAAAAAAATTGTTTTGCTCCCAGTTCTGCAGGCTCAAGGCTATGGCACCAACATGGGCTTTGTGCTGGTGGAACCTCATGGTGGGAACACATGCTAATGAGAGATCCGGTGGTGAGACAGAGATTAAACCCAGGCCCTCCAGCATGCTTGACAAGAGCTCCACCTCTTGAGCAATCCTACCCCCCGTCCCAGCCCTTTTGTTTGTGGGGTTTTTGTTTGTTGCTTTTTTTTTTTAGGTAGGATCTTGCTACCTTTGCCCAGTATGGCCTCAAACATGCAATTCTCCTGCCTCTACCTCCTGAGTAGCTGGGAGTCCAGGTATGCACCACCACGCCTGGCCCAGTCTTTTTCCTTTCATAACAACCCTCTATTGAGAACTAAGCAGGGTCTCATAAGAACTACATTAATCTCTTCAGAGGGCAGTACTCCCAGTGCCCTTCACTAGGTTCCACTTGTTAAAGTTTCCTCATCTTAAAGGTTCCACTCCACTTCTTAGCAGCCTCACACTGAGGACCAAGCTTCCAACACAAAAAGCCTTGCGAGGTACTCCAAACCATATCCAAGCCATAGCACCACAGAAGAAGAAAACATTCCTTTTTTCTTTCTTTCTTTTTTTGGCCAAACTAGGTATTAAACTTAGGGCCTTGTGCTTTCTAGGCAGGCCTGCCACTTGAGTTGTGCCCCCATCTGTTTTTGTCTTGGTTAATTTTGAGATAGGATCTTGCATTTATGCCTGGACTGGCGGGGACCACAACCCATCTATTCATTCTTCCCGCATAGCTATAGCTGGAATGACAGACATGTGCCATTTTGTCCAGCTTTTTATTGTTTGAGTTAGGGGATCTTTTGAACTTTTTTGCCCAGGCTGGTCTCTAACTGCTTTCCTCCTAATCTGCTTCCTGAGTAGCTGGGATTGCAGACTTGAGCCACCATGCCCAGCCTCTTTTTCTCTTTAAAATAAATCCAATCTTTAATGGTTCCCGCCTATTATTTCATGACCTTTTCTTCCTGGAGACCCTTTATTTTGTGTATTAGAGTGCTCTCTTATTCTGTAGCTCTGACTAGACATCCATACCCAAATACAATTAATTAAGCCAAACATTTTCACATAAAATAGAATCTGAACATAATATACTTACAGATCTTAAAAATCATGGTACTTAAAAATGTGGACACTGTGCAAGGAGGGAGCTACTCTGGCTTAGAAATCTCATCCCAAGTGCCAATATCTTTTGTAAAAAGCCTTATTGATAGAGCTTCCAGGGTCCCAAAAGGGACATACCCAGTTGTAAGTTCGCTCAGAGGATCCCAAAGCTGTAGCCTCCGACCAGGTAATTGGGCAATTTTTACCATGAGCAGTGTTGCCTAATAAGAGCTGACAGCCTTATCAGGTTACCAGGGCAGCAAAACTAGAAAGTTAATGCACAGTTATGCTTGTCTTTAGAAAGAGACAGGAATTTTGTTAGCCCTTTATCTACAACTTTCCAAAAATATCTTTACAATGATTATTGTGTTTTCAGATATATGTGAATAAATGACTTTGAAATAGCTTCATACTTATCTGGCTTTTATCATTTTTCATTTATGATAGCTTTTCTTTTTCCTTTTTTGGTAGGTCGTGTCAAATATTCAGAACAGGTGTATGATGCATGTATGGAAACATTTGATAGTCTTCCTCTTGCTGCCCTCTTAAACCAGCAGTTTCTCTGTATACATGGAGGAATGTCACCTGAAATTAATAGTCTAGATGACATTAAGAAAGTAAGTAATTTTTGGGGGGTGGGACTGGGGTTTGAACTCAGGGCTTTATGCTTGCAAAGCAGAAGCTCTACTGCCTGAGCCACACCTCCAGTCCTGGTTATTTTGGAGATGACGTCTTGTGAACTATTTGTCAGGGCTGGTCTTAAACACTGATCCTCCTGATCTCTTCCTCTCAAGTAGCTAGGATTAAAGGTGTGAGCCACTGGTTCCTGGCTTAAAATTTTGTTTTTATTGAAGTCAATGTATAGCTTTAGCTTAAATTGTAAAAGTACATATTATCAAAACTAAAAAATAGAAATGACTTGTTATCTCATATTGCAAGATAATGATTATTAACACTTTAATACATATATCTGCCAGAAGTTTTCTTATTTTTTACTAAATCTCTGCCATTACCAGCTAGAAGCAGAACATTCTTAGAATGTAGCTCTGAAAAATTTAAACTGTGCCACACTGAGGAAGGAATGAAACCAGAGTTGTAATCCCAGTCCTGCTGTTAATTCTGTAACCTTGACCAAATGACATAATCTCTTAGCACATTTTCTGTGTGTGTGAAATGAAGAAGTTGGAGTGGCTGGTCTGAGGACTCCACCAGCTTTGAAATTCATTGACTTTAACATTTTAAATGATACAGTTTAATTGTTTCACCTGCCTTACATGGTATTTCCAGTATTCTGTATCTTCATGACTTCACTTACATTCTCCTGACTCTCTTCCCTCTTTGCCTTTGTATTCCCTTAGTTCTCGCTTATAGGTACCAAAACTAGAGATTTTTTTTGTTACTAAAACTGTTTTCTCTGAATTAAAGTCAGTTTCTTCAAGGAACTGGCTTTTTTGCTTTCTAACTGTCTTTTAAATACCTCACATTTTTGTTTTACATAGTAAATCTTGGATTTAACGATTCTGAATCAATTATAGTAATAATAAAGTTCCCCTTTTCACTCAGCAGACGTCCTGTCAATCTCAGCCTCCCAAGTAGCTAAGATTATAGGCATGAACCACTGGTGCATTAGGCTATTCTAGTTACCTTGTAATCTTTGAATTTTTATGCTTTTAACTAAAGCACCAGTGACTAAAAGTTAAGTTAATGAGTGATATTGACTGGCTTTCACTATGTAGAATGGAAAGCATAAAACCCCTTTACAAAAAAAAAAAAAAAAAAAAAAAACCTAGCATTCTTTTAAAATAAGTCTCCATTGAAATGAAGTAAACCATGCACAGAACCATTGTAAAACCTTCCTGCTTTCCTGATAACATGGACTCCCACCAGCAATTGAAATTAACTTTATATAGTCTTTCTAAAACTGTGTGTTTCTGCAATGGTTGATTTCACATTTGAATTGAATGAGTACTGCTTTAAGATTAGGATATAAGGAGGTTCTTCTGTATGGTATGGTTAGATGGCAGGCAAATTCATAAACATTATTACAGAAAAATAACAAAAATTATATACCTAAATTTTTAAATGTTCATTTTCTTGAATTCAGGGACATCCTTCTGTGTCTTGCTGCCTTTTCTCCTATTTCTGTAGGTAGAAGGAGATTTTTAATTCACCTTCTAAGAGAGTCCTTTTGCTTTTTTTTTTTTTTTTTTCTTTTGGCTTTTGTGTTTCTTGCAGTTAGACAGGTTTATTGAACCTCCCGCCTTTGGGCCAGTGTGTGACCTGCTTTGGTCTGATCCCTTAGAGGATTATGGCGATGAGAACACCTCGGAGCACTATAGCCACAACACTGTCCGAGGGTGCTCTTACTTTTTCAGGTAAGCTAAGCCTCAAGAAGAAAATTGTGAAAGAAACTGTGGTAGATTTTACTAAATTATCTTAAGTACAAACATGTATAATATAGGGACTTCTATTTGATTCCTTCCTTCTTTCTTCCCTCCCTCCCTCTTTTCCTCCCTTCCTCCCTCCCAGGCAAATACTTGTTTAATTTCTTAATAGAAAATGCTTGTTTGTTTGTTTTATATTTTTTTAGATATTATGCCCTATGAAATTGGACATTTTACAATTCTCTCTCTCTCTCTCTCTCTCTCTCTCTCTCTCTCTCTCTCAGCCCTTCTTCCCCTCTCTTTGTGATGGGAATTAAACCCAGGGCCTTGTGCATGCCTAAGCATGGGCTCTGCCACTGAACTATTGTAGTCTTTGACTCCATCTTCCCAACACTTAGCTCCCTGGCAACTATAGTTCTAACTCTATACTTTATGAGCTTATCTAGTTTAGATTATACATATAAGATCATGTTAAAGTATTTCTTTTTCTATATCCACCTGATTTGGCAGGATTTCCTTCTTTTAAGGCTGAGTTTTACACACACACACACATACACACATAGATACACACACACACACACACACACAACACACACACACACACACACACACACACACACACAGAGCCTGGTTATTGTGAATAATGCTGCAACAAATATGGGAGTACAGATACCCCTTTAATATACTGATTTCATTTCCTTTGGATATATACCCAGATGTAAGATTGCTGGATCATAAGATAGTTCTGTTTTCAATTTTTTGAGGAATTTCCATACTGTTTTTCCGTGGCAGTACTAAGTTAAATTACATTCCCACCAGCAGTGCACCCAGGGTTCCCTTTTCTTTAACATCCTTGCCAATATTTTTTGGATTTTTTTTTTTTTTCCTTTTTTTGGTACTAGTCTTTGAATTTAGGGCCTCAGGCTTGCTAGATAGGTACTTCACTGCTTGAGCCACACCTCCAATCCATTTTGCTCTGGTTATTTTTGAGATAAAGTCTCACAAACTATTTGCCCAGGCTAGCCTTTTGAATCTTTGTCCTCCTGATCTCAGCCTCCTGAGTAGCTAAGTAGGATTACAGGTGTGAGCCACCAGTGCCCAGCCCTACTTTGTCCTTTTTTAAATCAGGTTATATGTGGGATTTTCTTTTGTAACAGTTTCTGACTTAAAGTCTCTTCTGTCTGATTTAAGTATAGCCACTTCATTTGCATGAAATATCTTTATCCGTTTATTTTCAGCGTGAGTGTATCCTTAAATCTAAAACAAGTCTGTAGAGATGGCGTATGGTAGGGCCTTGCTATTTTAGCCAATCAATCTATGTGTTTCTATTGAGGAAATAATTAGCGTTAGGTAAGGACTTACCGTTGCCATTTTGCTAATGGTTTTCTGTCTGTTTTATGGTTATTCAGTTCTCTTTTTTTTTGGTAATTTTTATAGTAATATAAAAATCATCAAAAAATTGGTTTGGTTAATTTCTCTAAATCTTTGTGTTTCTACTAGAATTTTTTTTTTAACTATGGGGTTCATATCAACCATTTTATAGTTATAACAATCTATCTTTTTTTTTTTAATTTTAATTTTGGTGTTTTGGGACAGGGTTTCTCTGTGTTGCCCAGAGGATAGCCTTTAACTCATGATCATTCTTCCTCATCCTCCTGAGAGCTTGGATTTACAGGTGTGTGCTACCACACCCAACTAATAGCAATCTGTCTTAAACTAAGGAGAATTTAACTTCAATTGCATACAGAAACTCCTTTACTCCCTTCCCCATGTCAGGTCTTACTTAATATATTATTTCTGTTTGCAACTTTTTGTGGTTATGGTTTTCTTACTGCCTTTGTAAGTAAGTTACATAGTAGTCTTTAAAGTGGTTAATCTGCCAATGTTACATTATTGCATGTTTGTCTTTACAGTTACCTTTTGTAGTGAGATTTGTACTTTCATGTTGTTCAACATCTTATTGTTTTGACCTTAGCTCCTCTTGGCAGTTTTTGTAAAGCAAGTGACAGACTCCCTCAGTTTTGTTTGTCTAGAAAAGTCTTTATTGCTCCTTCATTCTTAAAGGACATTTTGCTGGGTAAAACCCAAAAGTCCTTTAAGACTTGAGTTAGCACTTTTTTTTTTTTTTTAATTTGAATATATTGTCTCCTTCTCTCCTGTCCTGTAGGCTTTGGCTCAGAAATCCACTGATAATCTAATAGAAGCTCCTTTTATATGACTAGTTGCATTTCTCTTACTGCTTTCAAATTCTCTTTGTTTTTGACTTTTAACTAATTACGATGTATCTTGGTGTAGAACTCTTTGGGTATTTGGAGATTCTTTGGGCTTCATGAATTGTGATGTGTATTTCCCTCCCTAGATTTGGGGAGTTCTCAGCTATCATTTCCATAAACTTTCTGTTCCCTTTCTATATTCTCCTTCTTGAACTTCCATAATACACACATTATTTTGTGTTTAATGCTGTTCTATAATTCTCATATACTTTTGACATTCTTGTTCATTTTTTTTACTTATAACTTAATTTTTTTAGGGAGACAGCACTGTGGTTTGAACTCAGAGTCTCATGCTTGCTAGTCATAACTGGATTATTTTAAATGACCTGCCTTTGAGTTTGCAAATTATTCTGTATAACTGAGTCTGCTGTTGAAGCTTTATTAGATTTTTTTCAGTTCAGTAGTTATATTCCTCATCTCCAGGATTACTAATTGGTTCTTTTTTGTGGTTTCTATTTCTTTATTAAATATCTCAGTTTGTTTCTGCATTCTAAATAATCTTTTAAATTACTTTTATTTTTTGGCAGGATTGGAGTTTGAACTCAGGGCTTCATGCTTGCAAAGCAGGTGCTCTGCTGCTTGAGCTACACCTCCTCCTATATTCTTACTCTGATTTCATTTAGTCTGTGTTCTCTTGTAGCTCATTGAGCTTCTTTAAGATGATCAACCTGAGCTTTTTTTTAATAGCAGTTTGTTAGGATAAATTAGTTGCACAAAGGGTTTTCATTGTGATATTTCCATACATGCATATATATCTTGATAAAATTCACCCTCCTTTGTTACTCTTTCTTTCAAGCAGAGTTCTTTGTCATGCAATTCATGAATCTCCCATGTCTTACGCGACAGTTACTGTAGCTTTATTAATTTCCTTTGGTGGCATCATGTTTGCCTGACACTTTGTGACCCACATAGACTTACATTGGTGTCTTTGCATTTGAAAGAGTAGACATCTCCTCTAGTCTTTACACCCAAGTTTGTCAGGTAAATAGATTTCTTCTGCTGGTTCCCATGGACTGATTAGACTGCTCTGCAATCGTGGTTGAACAGGGCTGGAGCCAGACCACTGGACTGCAGTAGGGCCATAAGTTGACAAGCCTGCTACTGAGCGCATACTCCTGCTATGTCCCTGAGTAGACACAACTGCCTCAAGAACTCAATAGAATGGAACTCCAGCTACGTCACAGGGATGGTTCAGGTCTGCATTTGGCTCCTGCATTTTACCCAGGGCCTGAATAGGTGAGGATCCCACCAGGTCTCCGGAAAGGCTGGACTGTTGAGGGCCACAGTAGAATGGGCCTAGAGCTTGGTTGCACTGTTGCTTCTGGTCTGCAGTTGAGTCCAGTTGGCAAGTGTGTTACCAGGGGCACCAATGGCTCTGGCTTCTCCCTGGGTCCTAGGCAAATGGGGCTCCTGTCAGGACCACAGACAAACAGGTCTGGAGCTAAGTCCTCAAAGGGCCAGGCTGCTTCTGGGACTAGAGTTGAAGGACTGCCTTTTCAGAATGGCCCTCCTTGGTCCTATGCTTCACCAAGATTTCACAGCCTCCACTTCAATCCTGAGACCCCTTCCCCCAAAGCACATAGTCTGTGAGTGCTTGACAGATTCTTGTTCTGTTTGTGAACAAAGCTGGGGACTTTCTATTCTGCCATCTTGATGATGTCACCTAGAATCTGTTTTAAAAGTGAGTATTTTCTAGTGAGCATAATGTGAAACAAAGACTTTTTCAAAATAAATAATTGGAGCCAGGTAATCCCAGCTATTCAGGAGACTGAGACATGAGGATTGTGGTTTGAGGCCAGTCCAGGCAAAAGTTAGTGAGACCCTATCTCAAAAGGAAGCCAGGTCTAGTGGCATGTACCTTTGTTCCAGCTACTTGGGAGGTGGAGGTAGGACAATTGCAGTTCGAGGCCAGCCCCAGCAAAGTTAGAGTGAGACCCTATCTGAAAAACAAAAGCAAAAGGAGTGGTGGTGTAGGTCAAGTGAGAGAGCAGCCATGAGTTCAATCCCCTCTACCACAAATTAATTAATTAACACCTGTATAATTCCAGGTTAATTGTGCATTTTCCAGTTCTTCATGTCAGGTATTTGTCATTCAGAAAGTATTAGTAGAGCTGGTGGAGTGGCTCAAGTGGTACAGTGCCTGCCAAGAAAGTAATAATAATAAGAATATCTTAGGAGCATGCACAGATATCATACTTTTCATTTGAGTATGGTTTGCTGTAATACTTACTTCTACTCCTGAAATATTCCTGTGTAGTAACATTTTGGTATTGATTGATATTACCTATAAAGCAGATTCTTTTACTTTTCTAATAGTTTGATGATTAAATAAAGCTGTGTATTCAGTTTATAACACCTGTTGTGCACATGTGCACACACATACATACTAGGATAGTGCTTTTTTTATATCAAGATACTAAGAAAAGTTTTCGTCTTGTATCATTATTGTTGTGGGTTAAGACAAAAGAAATTAAAAGATAGGGCACTCTTTCTATTCTAGGGTTGTCTCTTATTTTCATGTTTGATCTGTGAGGTATGTTAGTGAAATAGGAAAATAGAATGATGCTGGCTTGTATGGTGGTTCATATCTATTATCCCAGCTACTTGGGAGGTGGAGCTGAGTGGTTCTTGCCTGGGCAAGGTAAATGAGACTATCTCAGAAACAAAATATAATAAATAACTACAAGGGCTGGAGGTGTGGATCAATAGGATGGGACTTGCCTAGCACCCAGGAGGCCAAGGGTTCAATTCTCAGTATTGAAGAAGAAGGAGAGGAGGAAGGAGGAAGAAGAAGGAAAGAATAATAAAAGGAAGGAAGAAAGAAAAAGAAAGACAGTGATGATTTGCTAAGCTTTTAATGAAAGTTCAGGGCTGGGGTTGTGGCTCAAGTGGTAGAGTGCCTGCCTAGCAAGGGCGAGGCCCTGAGTTCAACTCATCCCACCAAAATGTTTTCTACTTTTCTTTTTCAGTTACCCTGCAGTTTGTGAATTTTTGCAGAACAACAATTTATTATCAATAATTAGAGCCCATGAAGCACAAGATGCTGGGTAAGTTACATTAAAACTGTTCCAAATAGCTTTGTACAAATTTTACTTTTAGTATTAAGACAGATGGACTGTCATCTCTTTTCCAGGTACCGAATGTATAGGAAGACCCAAACAACCGGCTTTCCATCCCTTATCACAATTTTCTCTGCTCCCAATTACCTGGATGTCTATAACAATAAAGGTAAAGAAGCCCAGCAATCTCTGTGCTTGGGGATGTAAATGTTGAGCTGTGTGTGTCTTGTTTTCTTTGTTGTGTTCATTTGTTTATTTGTATTCTTTGGTGTGCTGGGAATGGAACCCTGGGCCTTGTACATGCCAAGTCCACACTCTACCATTGGACTGTACCCCAGCACCTTTTGTTTGTTTGTTTGTTTGAAGTGCTGGGCACATGAGCCACACTCCCAATTCTTTTTTGCTTCAGTTATTTTTCAGAGGGGGTTTCGTGTTTTTCCCCAGACCTGGCTTCCAATTGCAGTCCTCCTACATGTAGTCTCCCACATAGCTGGAATTACAGTCACACCCATCAGGCTTGGCTTATGTGTTGAGATATGGTCTCACTATGTTTTGTCTGGGCTGGCCTTGAACCAAGATCCTCTTGATCTCTGCTTTCTGAATAGCTGGGATTATAGGTGTGAACCATCATGCCCAGCTTCCAAGTACCTATTTTTAAATATAAATTTTAAATAAGAAGAAAAGATCTTGGCTGGGAGTTGGGGTATAGTGCTATAGTAAAACACATGCTTAGCATTATCAAGACTCAAGGTTCAATCCCCAGTATCCTGGCCCCCCTCAAAAAGAAGTGATTTAATTGAAACAAAGGCCAATAAATTTAGAATATATGCCACTGCTTTGTCTTCATCTCCTAAGAATTGTTGGGTTCTTTGTGAGTATAAAGGTTTGTATTACTGAGCCAAAGAATAAAAATAATAAATAACTTCCAGGTCATGTTAGAACAGTTGCCTTAAATTATTTATTTTGGTGAATTTATTTATAACAGCATTTCAAAAATTACCATATGGTAGTTTGTTGTTGTTAATTTGTTGTTATTTTGAGGCAGGGTCTGGATAATTGGCCCAGGCTAGCCTAAACTTGTAAACCTCCTGCCTCAGCCTCCTGAGTGTTAGGATTACAGGCATGTACCACTACGCACAACTATCCACTTGGTGTTTATTATTTGTAAATTACCATGCTGTTTTTGGTCTTGTGATATAGTATAGATAGAGTGAATAATGTATAAAAAGTCAGAAAAAATTCTTCATTTTAGTTCAAGCCCTGCCAGAAACTAACAGTATGACTTGGGTGAGTCACATAATCTTTTTAAACCTCAGTTTCTCATATAAAAAAAGATTGGATATGCATGTGCCTTTTCCACAAATTCTACTTCTAAAACTTTGTCTTGTCAGAGCATTGTCCTACCCAAAATTTCATGTCTCTGTAACTATTTTACTGTTTATGTAATATGACTATAAAATAATAGGACTTTTTTTAAACAAACATGCCAAAATGAATATATCCAGATGAGTATTGTCCCTTCAAAGTAGTTACCTTGGCAGGCTACTCCAACAATGCAGTCATTGTTCAAAAACATTTTTGGAACTCCTGTTTTGGCGTTGCCTTCAGAGTCTGCGACATATTCTTTTGATTATCCTCACTGATGGGAAATCTTCGTCCTTTGAGGGTGGATTTGATTTTTGGACAGCCAAAAGTCATTCGGAGTCAAGACTGATAAATAAGGTGAGTGATTGAGCTCGATGACACCATTTGGGTCAGAACAAGGTATGATTATGAGGTAATGAGACTGGTTTTCCTTGTGTTGCTTGTACATGGACTCTGGAGGCAATTCCAGAAGAAGAGTTCCAAAAGTGTACTGAGTAATGGCGGCATCTTTCTCATGGAAAGGCAGCGAGTTGAAAAGAGCACTAACCTACTCGTCAGAATTCCTGGTTGAGTCCGACGTTACTTTTAAGTGTGTCACATTTAACTAGATGCTTTACTTCTCTGGGCCTCAGTTTATCTTTTAATTATTTGTCGTGTAGAGTTGTTAAGTTGGAATAATGAAAATTAATATTAAACATTGTTCAAAATATAAACTGCTATAATACTGTAATAATAATACTGTAATATTTTACTGTTACTCTTCCTGACGTGATGTATCAAAGGACGACACTCATCTGATACATAAGGTCTTGTGTGCTTGTAGTTGGTGGTTTCTTAAGTCTCATTACTTTATAGTCATACCTTGTATATGCAGTCGGGAGAGAGGTTTTAAAGAGGTCCACAAATATTACTCTTATTTTAAAATAAACTATGGAATGGCACATTTCATTTAAATCTTATTTCAGTGTCACTTCTGTGTTAGCCTTCAGTGACTTGTTTGGTATTTTTTGTGATGCTGGGGACGGAACCCAGGACCCCATGCTTGCTAGGCAAACATTCTACCACTGAGCTATACTTAGCCCTTGTCCATTTTTAAAAAGCATTTCTCTAAGTTCTCTCCTAGGCTTATGTTTTCTTTTTTACTTATCATCATTCTTCTCTAAGCCTTAGCTATCCTACAATGCTTTGGTTCTCCCTTTGTTCATTCTTTCTTATTTCCTTTTTCCCACTATTTCCAATATATTAGCAACTTGGTTTATTCTGGTTTTCTTCTTATCAAGTGTATGTACTACCTATGTTGTTAAATATCTTCAAGGAGTAGCCCTGTGCACCACTCTCTTTTTAAACCTCATTGCTGAAAGTGTCTACTGATCACCCAGTGGATTTATCAGAATGCCAAACTGAAAAACGCCACACAAATCAGCACCCACTGAACAATTTAGGAACTGCCGGTTCCTTTGTTCCCTTACTCTAATGTTCTTGTTCTTTAGTAAACTTTTTAAGTCACAGCCCATTCTACCTGGGTTTTCTGTCAGCTTTGGCATAATTGGTAACTTTATTTCAAAATGATCTTGTTTTCCTTGGTTGTTTGTTAAGCTTGCTTCCCCCCCAAAAAAAACAAAGAAAAATGGCAGAAAATATAGTATCTGAAACAAAACCTGGTGGCACTCTTTATACAGGTGCCTCTTAAAGTTGAAAAAGACAGCTTTATTGCCTTTTCCTCCTGTTGGTTTTTCTTTCTTTCTTCTTTCCTTCCTTTTTTTTTTTTTTCTTTTTTTTTTTGAGTATTCTTTAGGCTTATTTGTATCTACAGTATTTCTCAACTTCACTGGTTACCTGAAAGACCCCTAAGTTGTAATTTTTTAGATTCTTATTTCTAGTATTTGTTTTCTTGTCCACTGGGAACATACCCCAAAGCAGTCTTTTGTCCTGTTTAGGTTGAGAGACTTGTTGAGTAGTGATAGTCATTTAGCCTACATAAAATACATACACATGGAAGTCATGGGAAGTGTACCTGGTACACATTCAAAGATGTTTTTAAGGTTAGATTTTTAAGAACAAGTGTCCTATTTTCATTATAATCTATGGTGTACATTTTACACATTTAGTAACTTGAAATTTTCAGATACTAGGCTCAAAGAAACAGAAGTCAGATGATCTCCACTGGTCCTTTCTAGAGAAGCACTGTGCCATATCTCATGTTCACAGTGAGAATGAGTCAAAGAATAGGGCAAACAATATTGCTGGTGATGCGTACTAATGAATTTATTTATTTAGGTGAGACTGGGATTAAACTCACAGCTTTGCACCTTGCAAAGTAGGCACTCACAAAGCAGGTGCTCTGTAGCTTCAGCCTCACCTCCAGTTCATTTTGATCTGGTTATTTTGGGAATGGGGCTCTAGTGAACTATTTGCCTGGGCTGGCCTCAAACTTTGATTCTCCTGATCTCAGCCTCCCAAATTGCTAGGATTCTACAATTCTAGCCACTGGCACCCTGCTGAATTGGACTTTGAAATTTAAAATATAAAGAAAAATCAGTTTGGCATCAAAGTTTGCATACGATCATATGACCTCATTAGTATTAAACATTTTAATATCCTGGCAATATACTAACTGAGTAGAAGAAGCAGGCATCTTTAAAATCCATTCTGTTGTATGCAGAAATAATTTAATCTAATTTTTAAACATTAATTGTAAATTGCTCCAAGTTTACCATTGATGGATTGATAAGTGCTATTTACAAACTTGTGGAGAGTTTTTAAAGAAGCTTTAGCTATGGCTAATGACTCACAAAACAGGTTGTATGCAGTTGATGAGTGGTATTTGCCCTCAAAGGGAATCTGTAATTGGAACCATTTGGCCTATAAAAGGAAATTATAAGGGAATTTTTTATCATGTGGAACCTGAGGGTTCTATATGTAGTTTCTGTGCAGTGAACCTTTGAAGTTTCACAACTCAATTTTCTTATGTGAGCTCTTCAGGTATCTTTGTTCCTTAGAATAATTCTTAAGAGAATGAACTATATAAAATGCTTTAAAATTTCTCATCTGCCCTGCACCTAGTCCTGAATTTATAAATGGAAAGTAAGTAATTCTGTGTGGTAGGTTCATAGCTGGACAAAGTATACTGGTTAGCATGTCTTGTTCCTCTGTGCCCAGTTTTCTTGCTTTTTCCTTTATAGCTGCAGTGTTGAAATATGAAAACAACGTCATGAATATCAGGCAGTTTAACTGTTCTCCACACCCCTACTGGCTTCCAAACTTTATGGATGTTTTCACATGGTCTTTGCCTTTTGTTGGAGAAAAAGGTAAGAGAACTGCAGCTAATGTCTGTGCGGACATTAGCCATCTGATCCAACACCTTTACTTGCACATCTCTGGTGGTTTAGAAGTGTTCTTTCTCAAGTTCATCTGTTTGTTTTCTACAAAGGTTTTCAAGTTGTCACTTAATTAGTTCTCAGCTGCCACTTAGTTGATATTCTAAATATCTGTTTAAAGTAGTTGTCCTTACTATATAATCAAGGTGTTAAAATAAGTCACTGTACTCAGTGATTTCTTCAAGTGCTGAAGAGACTTAAACAGGATTTATTGTCCTTACAACTTTATTTGTATACAAAACAAACCTAGGCCTTTTGATGTAGTTCTTTGTAAAATGGGAAGAACTTTTTATGTGAGTATCTAGACCAAAGGCTTTGAACAGCAATCTAATTCAGTCTCTAAAGACTGTGTTCTTTTACTGGAGCAAGTAATCTACCTTAATGCCCTCTAAAGTCAGTGGTTACATATAATGCTGCTATTCGTAGCTATTAACAACACAGTAGTAAGTAATTTTTGTCTGCCTTTAAACTAACGTGTGTGTATTTAGAATCCACGTCATCTGAGAGAAAGAACGTTATGTGTAATTTTGGATTCTTTTGTCTTACACAGTCACAGAGATGCTAGTTAACATTCTCAACATATGCTCTGATGATGAACTAATTACTGAAGATGAAGAAGGTAAACTTGAACTAGAAACTAGGAAACTTTGGATTTTAGTTTATTGTGAATCTCCATCTCTCTCTCTCCCCCCCACCCTGTTTCTCTGTCATATTACAAAACAATTATGTTCATTGCAGAAAACTAAAATTACAAATGCAGGAAACCATAAATAGGAAAAATAGTCACCCATTATTCTATCATCTCATAAATGTCTACTGTTAACATGTTTTTTGGCAGTATTGGAGTTTGAACTCAGGGCTTCACACTTGCTAGGCAGGCGCTCTACCACTTAAATCACTCTGCCAGGCCTTTTTTGAGTTAGGTATTTTTGAGATAGGGTCTGCCTACGCTGGCCTCGAACCTCAATCCTTCTGATCTCTGCCTCCTGAATAGCTAGAATTTATAGGTGTGAGCCACTGGCACCAGCTCCAATGTTAACATCTTGATGAATATACTACATTAGCTGTCTTTTCTCTTTATATATGTTTTTTCCTCTCATTTTTCCTTCTTCTCTATCATTTTTTTGTTTTGGGTGGTATTAAGGTTTTTTGTTTTGATTTGTTTTTTGGCAGTATTGCAGTTTGAACTGAGGACTTTGTGCTTGCAAACAAGGCGCTTTACTGCTTGAGCCACGCCTCCAGTCCATTTTGCTTGGGTATTCTGGAGATGGGGTCTCACGAATATTTGCTCAGGCTCACCTTGAACCTCAGCCTCCAAAGTAGCCAGGATTGAGGCATGAGCTAGCAGCGCCTGGCTGGTACTAGTGTTTTGAGCTCAGCCTTGGCTTTCTAGACAGCTATTCTACCACTTGAGCCACTCCCATCCCTTTTTTATTTTTCTAGTTAATTTTCAGATCTCATGTTTTTATTTGGGGCCAGCCTCAAACTTTGGGGTGTTCCTTATAGGCAGGATGACAGGCACAGGCCATCACACCTGGCTTATTAAGATGAGGTCTTGCTAACTTTTTGCCTAGGCTGGCCTTGAACCATGATCCTCCCGATTTCTGCCTCCCCAATAGCTGGGATTACTGGTGTGAGGCCACTGCACCCAAGTTCATTTTTCTTATTTACAAAAATAAGTTCATGTAATGGTATTGTGAACATTTCCTTTTTTTTTTTTTTTTCTTTGTAGACTAGTTTCTCATGGTTACATAGTTGCTTGTGTTGATCATTCTTTTTTTTTCTTTTTTGGTAGTACTGGGCTTTGAACTCAGGGCCTCATGCATGCTAGGCAGGCACTCTACCACTTGAGCCATTCTATCAGCCGTGATAATTCTTTGTGCAAATCAATACTATGCTGTTGATTTTTTTTTTCCCTCGACTTTTGCTTTTAAAATCTCTTCCATTTTGAAAATACAGTAAGCCTGCCTTACTCACAGATTTGTTACATTTGGTTTTGACCAAGGAAGGTCAAAAATAATAAGTAAATAAATACATGAATGAATGAATAAATAAGAAATTTCAAAAAAAATTTTAAATTCCCTTGCATGCATTATGCAACTCAGTTGATGGGGAGAAGCTCTCCGTCAGTCCTGTTACTATCAGTTGTAAAAGTAGATAAAATGAAATGAAACATTAAGATCACTATTAACAAAAATTGAAAACAAAGCATAATATGAGGAGAAACAAAACCAAAATGTACTCTTTTTAGAAAAGACAAAAAAGTTGATAAATCCCAGGTAAGAAAGACTAATCATGTCGTAAAGAGAATACATAAACTACCAATGCTAATGCTGAAAAAGGAGACATTATTACAGGTCCTGCTGACATTAAGAAAATAATGAGAATAAATTTATGCCAATAAATTTTGATGAAAATCTGATGAAACATATTCCTAAAAAAAAATATAACTGGCACAATATAGAAATTTTTTTTTTTTTGGTGGGACTTCCATTTGAACTCAGGGCTTTGCACTTGCAAAGCAGGTACTTTACTGCTTGAGTCACACCTCCAGTCCATGCTGCTCTGGTTATTTTGGAAATGGGATCTCTCAAACTCTTTGCCCAGGCTGTCCTTGAAGCTCAATCCTTCCCATCTCAGCCTCCAAAGTAGCTGCAATAATAAGCTTGAGCCACTGTCCCTGGCCTACACTAGGTCTTGTAAACTAGATTTAGATGGGAATTTTTTTAATCTGACAAATATGTCTGTAAAAACAATAGGAAACATCATATAGTGAAATGTTGAAAGCTTTCCTTAGTGCTTAAGAACTTTCAGTGCCACTATGCAATATTGTATTAAAAGTTGTAGCCAAGGACTGGTGGAGTGGCTCAAGTGGTAGAGTGCCTGCCTAGAAGTCCTAGCCACTACAGTAAGACAAGAAAAAGAAACACAGGGCATAAAGATTGGAAAGAAAAGAGCAGAACTGTTTTTATTTATAGGTGAGGATTGTGTATAGAGAAAACTTAAAAGAGCCTTTGATTATTAGAATCAACAGTTGCAGGTAGTAGACCTGCTTGACACAATCAGTATGCAATAAATTGTATTTCTATTTACCAGCAACAAACAGATGGAATTTTGTTTAAGATCGCCTTTACAATATCAACCCTAACAATAAATCTAACAAATGATTCACGCTGCCTCTAGGTAACAAACTATAAAGACATTATTAGAGAAATTAAAATAGATCAAAAAAATTGAAAAAACATCTCACCTGTGGGTTTTTGGAAGACTCAGTATTATAAAGATGTACATCATTCCCAGTCGTATGGTTGGGTTTTCTTTTGGCAGCACTAGGATTCGAACCCAAGACCTTGAACTTACTAGGAGATGCTTTTCCACTTAAGCCACAGCTCCATTCCATTTTGCTTTATTTTTCTGATAGTATATTCAGAAGCTTTTGCCCAAGATAGACCTTTTAACTATGATCCTCCCAACTAGTTGGAATTACAGGTATACACTACCACGCCTGGTCCAAAGTCAGTCATATATCCACAGGCAATCTGACCCTAAACTTTATATAGAAATGCAAAGGACTGGTTCTAAAATTCATATGAAAGTAGTTTAAGTCTTAAAGATGGGAGGATTTGCTCTAATGATGTCACAATTTTACTATAAAGTTAAAGTAATTAGAATTATTATTTAAGGACCGACAAGCATTGAAACAGAATAATGAAATCAGAAGTAGAGCCACTCATATATGACACTTGATTTACCCAGAGGTGGCACTGCAGAGCAGTGGATACCCAATTTTGAAAAAACTAAATCTACCTGGAGTTTATTTTTATGTATTTATACTTTCAAACATGAATGGTAAAGGGGTTGGGGATATATAGTTCAGTGGTAGAACACTTGTCTAATACATGTGAGGCACTGGGTTCCATCCCCAGCACCACAAAAACAACAACAAAAAACTAGTAAACAAAAGATGCAAAAAATCATGAAAGGCAAAACAGTGAGATTTCTAGTATTAGCCAGGTGCTGGTGGGTCACGCCTGTAATCCCAGCTACTCAGGAGGTGAAGATCAGGAGGATCAAAGTTCAAGACCAGCCCAGGAAAACAGTTTGTGAGACCCTATCTTAGAGAGAGTTTTTTTGTTTTTTTTTTTGTTTTTTGGTAGGACTTGGGTTTGAACTCAGGTCTTCACGCTTGCAAAGCAGGCACTCTACCATTTGAGCCATGCCTCAAGTCTGTGAGACCCTATCTTAAAAAACCCATCACAAAAAATGGCTGGTGGAGCGGCTCAAGGTGTAGGCCCTGAGTTCAAGCCCTAGCACTGCAAAAAAAAGTTTCCAGTATTTTTAATATATAATGTCTTCATAACCTTGGAGAAAAAATCTTTTAGCAGGGCTCAAAAAGCACTAACTGTCCAGGAAACTATTCATTGAACATCATTAAAATCAAGAGCTTGTGTTTATCTAAAAACCATTAAGCATGTGAAGACATGCTGCAGAATGGGAGAGGATACTTGCAACAGAACCAGCAAAAGGACCATTTGCTGAAGAGTTGAAAAACCATACCTTAAGATGAGGAGACATAACAGGCACTTCACAAAAGAGGATATCCAGATTGCCAGTAAAAAAATGAAAAGATTCAACCTGATTAGTAATCATAAAAATGTAAATTGAAATTATAATGAGATAATATCTGAAACTCCATAAATTGGCTAATATCTGGTATTGGCCTGCATGTGTGGCAACAGGAATGCTTGCTCATACACACTTGAATAAATTGTTTTATCCTCTTTAAGAGATAATGCCACACTATAGCTGAGAAGTCTAATACCTAGGAATATACTTAACAGAAATATGTGCAGTAAAGAAAAATGTACAGGAATACTCAGCAATCTAATCTGTAATAGCTAAAAATTAGAATCCACTCAAATGATCATTGGCAATAAAAATGATGAATTATGGCATATTTGAAATAGTATATGATAATGAAAACAGACTATAGCAACAGTGAAAATCATGGATGAATCTTGCAATGTTGAGCAGAAGAAACCAGGCCAAAAAATAGACCTGATCTAGGTATACACAATTCAAAACAATGAAAACAGTGTTTATGGATGCATGCTGACATGGGAGAACTATACAGCACAATAGGAAACTGATTCTAGTGGTAATCAAGAGAATGGTTTCCTTAGAGGACAGACAGACTGTATGTATTAGGAGGGACCAGTTGGCGGGGGGGGGCGGGGGGGGTGGAGTCGGGGCTTCTGGAGTTCAGGCAGCATTCTTTTTATTGACCTGAATGATAGTTTCATAGTCATTTGCTTCTTAATAAATCGTTGAGTTATACATTTGTTTTGTGTACTTTTCTGTGTTTTATTATACTGTATAATAAAAAAGTATAAAACAGAGTTATATATGCCTACAAAAGCAGGGAGATTTTTGTAGAACTTTTTGGAAGCTGGAAAAACAAATGAATTAGTATTACTGACTTAGCTGATTCAGGAAAGCTAAGAGTTTACCAATAGAGAATGTTGAGGTCCAGCAACTTGCTAGAACTGGGAACTGGGGCTGGGAGCAATGGACTAACATAAGTAGATTGGGTGAGGTCAGCTTGAAAGGCAGCTGAAGTCCTATGTTGCCACTGGGCAGCAGACTTCCCAAGTCAGGAAGCTGTTCTCTAAAAAGCATAGACAAAGGTTTCTGGACTGGAGATACAGTTGGGGACTTCAGTACTTCCAAAAGCAGAAATGACTACACTCAGTCCCTAACAAAGGCCCACCCTCATCTCTCAAGGTACAGCTCAAAGCCAACTAATTCCACCAGCTCTGAATGCTTTGTAGTTCCTTGCTTTTGTTTTTACTTTTGGTTTTTTTTTTTTTTTTTTTGTGGCACTGGGGATGAATCCAACACCTTGCATATATGCTAGGCAAGGGCTCTATCTCTGAGCTATATCCCAGTCCTAGTCCCTCACTCATAATCATGAGTGAACAAAGATCAGACCCCCTAAGCAAAATTGCTGAGACAAATAAAAATAAGAGAAGATTTTTAGTTCATTAAACAAAAATAGCCAGGCGTGGCAGGCACTTAATAGCCCCAGCTACTCTGAAGGCTGAGGCAGGAAGATGCTTGAGTCCATGAATTCTATACTGTAATGCACTATGCCGATAAAGTACCCCTATTAAGTTCATCATTGTGGTGACTACCTGGGAGCCAGAGACCTCCAAGTTGCCTAAGGAGTAAACTGCCCCAAGTCAGAAATGGAAAAGGTCAAACAAGAACAAAATGTTCTCATTAAGATTTGTAAACTGTTGGACTGGAGGTGTGGCTCAAGTTGTAGAGTACCTGCCTAGCAAGTGCAAAACCCTGAGTTCAAGCTCAGTACCACACACACACACAAAAAAAATGTGTACACTATTTGTTCTTGTCCTTTATTTTTGTTACTTGTTATGTTCCAAAAATGGTATCTTTCTCTAATTTTATTTTTGTGATCTTTGGGGGGAGGGTAGAAAATACTGGATAAAATAGATGGGATTTAATGCAAGATAGTAAAGTTTTAAGAAGTAGAAGAATTAACTGACAGAAAGTGTAGTATTTAACATTGTCAAGGTAGCAGGCTATCTCTTAGGAGCTAATAAAGATAATGGCCTGCTTCTCAGTGCATTTCACTTTGACTTTTTTCTCTCTTCCATGTAAACTTACATTCTCTTCTCGTATTTCTATTTCATCTCCTTGTTTCTTGGTGTCTCTTCTCCCTGAAGATCACTACATTTCAAGCTATCAGAAAGGTATCCAACTGAAATGTGATAAGAGCTTAATTCTTGCTGTCAGTCCCACCACAGTTGAGTGGTTAGACATTCTGAATTGGTAGCTGAGCAGTTTCACAAGGCTTTCTGCCCTCTCTTTCAGTGGGAATGTCTGTTTTCTCTGGACCTGCTGTTGATCCAGCAGGATCGAGAGCCAGAAATGAGGAAGGAAAGCCCATGTTACTTTTTCTGACTTTTGAATGCCGTCACCTGGTGCATGCATGAACCTTTGCTTCTTATGTGCAGGCTGTTTCTAAACCTTAGATGAGGAAAAGTCATAAAGTCTTGCATTAAGTTTTTTAATGTTGCTTTTTAAAATTCCTTACCTATCCTTATAATTTGTACTGTACAGTTGTCAGTGACATTCTGAGGAAGTAGCTCTCTGGTATTGCAAGTGAAGATTATAGCGTAAAAGCAGCCCTCACGAAGTTCAGCACAGCTAGCTGGACCTTGTATTCTGCTCCAGTGACCACTTGCCCTTTGGCAGACCAAACCTTGCTCCTGAGGTGGCCCGTAGCATTTTCAAAAGAGATCTTTGCTATAGCAACTGTCTTCCTGAGATTGTCTATGTGTGTGTTTCATTTTGCTGTCTTACACACTATAGAACCACAAAACTTTCTACTTCTTATACACCTACTCAGTGTCTTTTTGTGTCCCCTTCATTCTTCATCTTTTTCTCTTCTGGGTTTTTTTTTTTTTTTGTGTGTGTGTGTTTTTGTTTTTCTCTTGTTCTTTAGAACTTCCTGGGATTTTCATTTGTGTTTTATTTTTGTTTTTTGAAAACAACTTTGACCTTGATTTCTTTTTAAAGAACAGTAGTTTCTCTTTAAATTAGAAAGATACTTCATCCTGAATTTTTTTAAGCCAGCCTGTAACACATCCCTTTAACTCACTTATTCTTTGTGTTCTCTAAGGAAGCACTGCAGTTCGAAAAGAGATCATCAAGAATAAAGTCAGAGCCATTGGGAAGATGGCACGGGTCTTTTCAATTCTTCGGTAAGGATATGCCTGTCATTACAGTGTGGGGTGAAGGCATTTGGAAAGTAAGTCAGAAGTTGATTTTGGACTAGTGCTTTTAGGATTGGAATTTGGAATTGGAGCTCAAAGTCTTGAGGTTATATGCAAGCTGAACCAGACTTCCATGTTAAAGTGTCTAACAGTGTTCTGGCATTCATTTGGTACTGCTTAGATACAGTGAACATAGTGGTTTTGTACAGATTTTATAGCCAGATTGCCTATGTTCAAATTCTGGCTTTCCTTCTTAGCTGTGCCTCAGTTTCCTTGTCTGTAGAATAGATATAATAATAGGACTTGCCTCACCAGATTAGTAGGTGAGTCAAATGGGATAATGTATGGGAGACAGCATTTGGCTATCAGAACCTTTGGGTTGAAAAACAAGAATGGACTGATTGTTTAAAATTGGAATATTTACAAAAAAACCTCCCTTTCTTTGAGTCAGGGTGGAAGTAGGGCAACTTGTTCTTCTCTCTGTGCCTTCAAGTATTGTTGACTTGCTGAGCAATACTCCCTGAGTGTTGTTAACCAGGGCTTCCGATGTTCCTCTGCAGGGAAGAGAGTGAGCGTGTGCTGACCCTCAAAGGCCTTACTTCCTCAGGCACACTCCCACTGGGTGTCCTCTCAGGAGGAAAGCAGACCATTGAGACAGGTGGGTATGAGGATGCTGTTCTCATGGAAGGTGTGCCCCCTTACCTAGAAGTCAGTGACTTTTTTTCAGTAAATGATGCTATAGCAACTGGCTATCCATCTAGGGAAAGATGAATCTTCACTCTTACTTCCCCCTTCACATAAAAACTAAATCAAAGTGGATTACAACTTAAATGTAAAAGTGAGAACAATACGACTCCCATCATTGGAGTAACCAAAGAATATTTAAGTAGAACACAAAAAGTACTAACCTTAAAAGAAAAAAATTAATAAATTAGACTACATTAAAATTAATTTCTCTTTGTGAAAATACTTAATAAAGAGAGAAAAAAGACTGGAGGTTTGGCTCCTGCTTTGCAAGTGCAAAACCCTGAGTTCAAACCCCAGTCCCACAAAAAAGAAAATAAAAGAAAGAAAAGCTATAAACTGAGAGAAGATTTTTGCAAAATATATGTCTGACAAAGCACTTGTACTCAGAATGCATGAAGAAGTATAAATAAAGCCAGTCACAGTAGCTCATGCCTATAATCATTGGTATTCAAGAGGTGGACATCATCAGGAGGATTGCAATTTGCAAAAACCCTATCTCAGCCATTAATAAGCTTGGTGTGGTGGAATGCACCAGTCATCCCAGCTACAAGGAAAGCATAAATAGGAAAATCACAGTGATCCAGGCCAGTCTGGTCATAAACATAGGATCCTATCCCCAAAATAACTAAAGTAAAATGGGCTAGGGGCATGACTCAAGTGGTAGAGCTCCTGCCTAGATAAGGTAAGGCCCTGGGTTCAAATCCCAGCACTGCCAAAAAAAAATAAAGAACTATAAATAAGGAAAATATTAAAAACAATCAAATGAGTATAACAGATACCTCACAAGAGGATATCAAAATGTCCAAAAAGCATATGAAAAGATGTATTTGAATATGAATAATGTAGTTATTCATTTGAGAAGTGGATATTAAAACCACAATGGAATACCACTTCATACCCACTAAAATGGCTAAAGTTTTAAAATACAGCAATATCAAGTATTAATGTATTCGTGAAGAACGTGGACTACATATATGCTGGTGGGCTTGTAAACTGGCATACCACTTTGGCAAACTGATGGGAAGTAGGCTAAACATAAGTATACCCCATAACCCAGCAATTCCACACTGGAAATATCCAAGAGAAATTAATACACATGTCCAGCAGGGATGTACATAAAAATGTTCACTCTAGCTTTATTCACAATAGCTCCAAACTGGAAACAATGCAGATATTCATTGAAAATAGAACAGACAAATAAATTCTGTTACATGGCACAATTGGTAGTGGAAGCTCACCAGGTGAACCCATGTATGTTGGAGGAGACCCTTCCCCTTCCTTTCTGTTCACACTTTTACTTTCAAGCCCTATTATTGACTCCTCGGATGACATCATTGCAGCCCTGTGGAAGGGTTTTTTCTGCCTTGTGGAAGAGTTTTGGTGCCAGTGAAGTGAAACTCTAACAATAACAACTTGAGAAACATTCTTTTTGAAATAGTAGGACAACACCTATAAAACAGACAAAATTAGGGCTGGCAGAGTAGCTCAAGTGGTAGAGCGCCTGCCTAACAAGTATGAGGCCATGAGTTCAAACCCCAGTACCACCAAAACAACAACAAAAAAAAAAAAACAGGCAAAATTAAACCTAATGGACTCCAGGCCATAAAATTACAAATGATGCTAGAATGTGCGTTCTATCCCTTATTACCTGACTCTCCAGTGCCTATTAGTCCCCTAGAACACACTTCTGTACAGTTTTCTTTTAGTATTCAGTTAGACTCTGCCATGTCCCCACAGATTACTCCATTATCATCTGCCAGAATAACATATTAGAGACTCTCTACAACTGTACTGAGCTCAAAGCAGTTGCGAGAAGATAAGACCTCTGCTCCACTAAAACCAGGATTGGTTTTATTGTTCTGTTACGGGAATGTGGAGTAAAGTTCCCTGTTTATGGAGGCATGGCAGGAACAAAATACCAAAAGCCAGGAGGAATGAGGAAGGAGGGCTGAGCTCAGATATTCTTGTGCAAATTCAAACCCCGATCTGAGGAAGATCACTAAGGTCCACAAAAAGGGAGACAGCTAATCAAAAGTAGCCTGACTCAAAGTATAAAGTCCATTCTCTTAGCTGCCCACCATTCTCTCTCCTTTTTATGGTGTCCTAATAAATCTTTGCTTTCTCCTAAATAAATAAAAATAGTAAATTGTGTTATATTTATATAATGACCATAAAAAATAACATCATGCATACATACAACAGTATGATTGAATCTCAAAGATTATGTGGTAAGCTAAAAAAGCCAGATATGAAGGAGCACAAACTTTCAATGTATGTGACATTTAAGAACAGACAGACTAATCTATGGTAAGAGAAATGAGAATAGCGCTTCCTCTGGTGGGAGAATATTCGCCAAGGGGCACAGAGACTTCTGGAGTGTTGTACTGTCTAGGTGGTGGTTATGCGTATGTAAACATGTAAAAGGGGACTGAGCTATACACTTCAGATTTGGGTGTATGATATGCCTCATTAATGAAAACAATTTTGAAGCTGGGTGTTGGTGGCTTATGCCTGTAATCCTAGCTACTGAGGAGGCAGAGATCAGGAAGATTGAGGTTCGAAGCCAGCCCAAGCAAAGAGCTTCTGAGAAAATATGTCACCAAAAAAGGATGGTAGAGTGCCTCAAGGTGTAGTCCATGAGTTCAAATCCCAGTACTGAAAGAAAAAAAAAAGGAATATCCTATATAATCCTGTATAGTATTTTTGGGGGGGTTTGTTTTGTTTTTGTTTTGCGGTATTGGGGTTTGAACTCAGCTTCAAACTTGGAGGCAGGCACTCTATCTCTTGAGCCACACACCTCCAGCCCCCTGTTTGAAAGGCTTTGAAATTTTGTTGACCACGAAAGTTATTGTCTTAATCTAAACCCATTTTTCCCTAGACCTTGAAAGAGTGAATCTATAAATCAAGGGCAAGTAAAAAAGAATATTATAGATGTGTTATTTGGCAATTTTTTTATAATTCTTGATCACCTTTGGGCTCAGAACCAATATGTCCAGTTTCTCTTCATTCTTGATCAAAATGAATGTGTTAATCAATTCAGGATTATTTATTGATACTTCTGAAATTAATAGAAATCTTCAGGAATGTTTGAAAAGAACAAAACTAAGGTAGATGCCAACTTTTTGGAGGTTCTTATTCTTATCAATTGACAGGAAGAGAGTTCATCTTATCATTTTCTCATCAGAATCTTAGTGCCACCAGTTCACTGGCAAACTAGAGCATTAGCTGAAAAGGATCTTTTATTGTTCATGTAACTTTATTGAAGAGCTTTCATGCCAACAATATCCCATATGCCTTATAACATACCTTTCATTTATAACCCCACCTTGTTCCAAAAGAGATGTAAGTGAATTACAGTATGTGTACAATGCAGTGAAGTAAAATAAATATGCTTTGGAAATTAGAGCACAAAGAAATAAAAAACAAACTGGATGTGGTGGTGTACACTTGTAATCCCAGCACATGACTGACTAAGGCAGGAGGACAGTGCGCATAGCAAGATCCTGTCTAAAAAAATTAAATAAAGTCACAAATTTGACTCCAAACTTCCTGGTTGCCAAAATAAAAGAGGGAAGCCAAAAGCCGAACAAAATTCACAAAGTCCATAAGATTAAAAAGCTCATTTATAAATTGAACTGCATCAAAATTAGACAGTTTTGTGATATAAGTGGTACTATTGAGAAAGTGAAAAGAATCTACAACGTTTATGAAAATGTTTGCAAATCATGTATCTCATAAGGGACTAATACCTACAAAATAAAAATGAAGAACTCTTACAGCAAATAATAAAAAGATATCACAACTAAAAATGGCCAAAGAATTTGAATTGACATTTTTCTGAAGGACACACAAACAGTATATGAAAATATGTTTGACATCATAAGACACTCAAGAAATGCAAGTGAAAACCACATTGAGGTACCCCTGCATAGTCACTAGGATGGCTACAACAAAAAAAAATCAGTTAAGTATTCATGGAGAGCTAGGTACACTCCTAGCTCTATGGTAGAGCTCTTTCCTGCCATGCGAGAGCTGGGTTCCCCTCTCAATTTGACAAGAGTGTTGATAAGATTGTAGAGAAGTTGGAATGTAACATGATGCAGCTGCTTTGGAGAAAACACTCTGGGACTTCTTCAGATGATTAAAAAGAGTTACCATATGCCCAGCTATTCTAGTCCTAGAGCAATTCTAGTCCTCCCTAAAACTTGTATACAAATGCTCATAAATGGCATTCTTCATAATAGCCCAAAGTGGACACAACTCAAATATCTATCAACTGGATAAGCAATATGTAATATACATGTTTTATATATATTACATATTAAGCCATAGAAGGAATGAAGTTCACATGAGTGAACCTTGAAATTGTGTTAAGTGAAAGCAGTTACTAATGACAGCATGTCATATGATTGCCCTTACATGACATACCCAGAACAGGCAGCTCTGTAAGGACAGAAAGTAGATTAATGGTTAAGTAAGGTTAAGGGGAAGAGGTGAGGGAGTGAAATGAGAAGTGACTGCTAGTGAGTAGGGAGTTTCTTTTCGGGGTGATAAAAATGTTCCAAATTCATTTGTGATGGTTGCACATTCAGGGCTGGCAGAGTGGCTCAAGTGGTAGAGAGTCTGCCTCCCAAGAATGAGGCTCTGAGTTCAAAACCCCAGTACTGACACACTGTGTGTGTGTGTGTGTGTGTGTGTGTGTGTGTGTCTGTACTGTGTAGTTGTACAATTCTAAATGTATCAAAATCATTGCCTTATGAATTTATTTCAGTAAAGATATTAAACAATTTTACCTTTTTTCTTATAATGTCCTTCAGGACAGGCTGCTGTCATAATACCCAATGCAAAAAGCATTTCTTAGCTAGGCATGGTAGCTAATCCCAGCATACAAGAGGCTGAGGCAAGAGGATTGTGAGTGACTTCAATGCCAGCCTTGGTTATATAGTGAGATTTCTTGTCTCAAAAAACAAAACAGCAATTCTAGGAAGGCCCAAAACACTATAATACACATTTTACCACATAGATTAGAAACTAAAACACTGCATAGAATTTCAGGCAAAGTTTGTCCTCCCACTTCCTAACAGTGTGCCTCCTCCATGCACTGTGGAAAGGCACTGTGGTTTCCTCATGTGGTTTATTTGTTCTAAGAAGATTCCAGAAACTCTGGTAGGGCTTCAACTTATGCCTACAGGTGGGGGACAAATGGAAGCATTTGATCAGTTAACTCCAAATCCCAGTTTTCCATCTCATGATAGAAAGTTAGCTTGCATTTCTTTCCCTTTCTCTTCATGTCGTGAAGCCTCAAGAACAGCAAACTTGCTCACTATTCTTCCCTGACTTTAAGAAAATTGCGTTTAGAGGAATTGATGAGGTTCTAATAGGAATTTTCTTGCTGTCCCTGTAACCTTTTCATGTATTAGGGTTTTTCACTGTCTGACAGAGAACACGCAAAGAAGTTTACCTCATGGTGCTGATTTTTAAATTGCTTCAGTTTTGCTCACTGAGTGAGGGCTTTCTTAGTAATTAGCCTGCCCTCTTGCACAGTGAATGGAAGCCATATGGGTTGTTGATGTCAGCCTCTGCCATATCCCTAATCCCGGATGGATACATGAATTTGCATCAGAATCTAACCGTCCCATGACCAGACAAGAAATAACCTCTCACTTATAATCCATTTTTCTGGCCTTCCAACTGCCAGTCTATTACTCAAAGACCACTCTTTTTTTAAATTAAGTGATTAAAAAAGACAGTGGGACACCACAACAGTAATCTGAGAGCAGTAAGAAGTAACATTAAGTTTTTTGAATAGGATCCAATAGCAGCTCATTTAACACCATCCAAGCTACTACAAACTAAAACATGGTTGTGATTAAATTATTTGACTTGAGAAGTAATTGATACACAATGTTAGGATATAAACTAAAGCTGGGCACCGGTGGCTTATACCTGTAATCCTAGCTACTCAGGAGACAGAGATCAGGAGGATCACAGTTTGAAGCCAGCCAAGGCAGATAGTTCATCAGACCCTATCTCAAAAAACGCTTCATGAGGGTGGGGGAGGGGGACAGGGTGGAGAAATGACCCAAACAACGTATGTACATGTGAATAAATGAAAAAAAAAAAAAAGCTTCACAAAAAAAGACTGGTGCAGTGACTCAAGGTATTGGCCCTGAGTTCTGCAAAAACCCAGTACTGCAAAAAAAAAAAAAAAAGGTATAAACTAATATTTGACTATTTTGAATGAATTGACCAACATTCCCATGCCAAAAATGTTAAAAATATTAGAAACACTCCCCATCTAAAGTCTCCCCTCCCACCCAAGTTAGTTCTTTGCAACAGTCGATCCTCTGGCTTGATCACCAAGCCTGAGTACCTCCACCTCATTGAGTTTTATTATGGATGAGTTTATTATGAGGTAGGCTGGCAGGTGGGGCCCTGGGATGTCTGTGCAACTCTATTGGTTTACTCAACTATCTTTATTTTTACACGCCATGCTCCTGTCCTCTTGCAGCCACAGAAGCCGCAGAGGCCCGGAAAGGTATGACCATATTACTCTGGTAAGCGTACTCATGTGTCTTGTGCTAGTTTTAAAAAGTTTTATCAACATTTCGAATCTCTTATTATTGCATCACCACAAGTATTAGCGGTGAAAGAAAGGAAGAGATATTCCTAGGCATGATCACATGTCCTATGTTTTTATTCATTCAGATGACCTTTACCACAGTTTAAGTCCTTTCTGGACTCCTCGGTTTTAATGCAGTAACTGAAGCTTACGCAGCTGGTAATGAGAAAGATGAAGTGGTTGAATCCTGTATCATTTCGTATACAAGGGACAGCCATTTGATAAGGAGAATCAGACAGGCCTGCCTTTTACCTAATGACTCAAAAAGTTCGAAAGAGCAGAGGCAAAAAGTAGACTAGAATTTAGTTTTCTTCATTTCTGAGGTTGCCCTAAGGCAATTAAGCTACATTATCTTTGTTTCTATGGAAACATTTTAAGTAACACTGTTTATGAATTTGTGAGTGAAAACCATAGAAACTGATAAATCTGTCTTATACTTTTAATGGCTTTTTATTTTTTTAGGAAAGTTGTACCTGACAGTACAAAGTTGAATCAGAAGGAAAATATCTAGAAACTGTTGACAGTTTTATCTCCCATTCAACTCCTGGTTGTGTGAGATAAAAAGCTGCTCTAAACAAAAAGATTAGCAATCTTGCCACTTTTTTTGTGATCAGTGTCTTGTTGTGCCTGATACAATTAACATGCTCAATTCCTAATGCTCTTTCTTTCCTAGCATTAAGACATTTCTGGCCCATACATTCTTTCTCAAATGTATTCGGGCTAAGCAAGGACTTCTTAGCTTTTGTCAGATCTGTTTTTGCCATGATTATTTGTATTGAGCTTTTATGAAAAATTTCATTTTCAGCCACCCTTTAGGCCTTACAGAAGTGGTAGTTTAGATAAAGCTGATTCAATCAATGTTGCCTGTTGCCATCCCTCTGTGCCTCCATAGCCACCCTTCTTTGTGTTCGCTAGGAGGTCACTTTGAACTGGGAAACTTGGTTAAGCTGTTGCTTTGCTGCCTTATTAAGCATTGCCACCCTCCTTTTTGGTAGCCATGAAAGGATTTACTCCTCAGAAGATTCGGAGTTTTGAAGAAGCCCGAGGTCTGGACCGAATTAATGAGAGAATGCCACCTCGAAGAGATAGGGGACGCCCAGGTGCGCCAGTGAAATCTTAACCCCTGCACACCCAAATGCTGATCACAGGAGCGACCAGGAGAAGAAAGCCTAGTAATGACTCACAGTCCTGTTGTGGCACAGATGGATCCCAAACCTACGAACAAATTTTATTTATTTATTTATTATAGAAAAATGAAACTAAAACAATTCAAACAATGTAACATGGAGGTGTATTCATAATCCAGTCTGCATTTATCCTGTAAGAAAGTGACCGTGTTATAAACTCTCTTAATTTATGCTCTGTGTAGATAAAAAGGACATCTGTTTTGTCTCTTTTTTCCCACCTAATTTTTAGGAACTAATTTGATTGTTGTCCATACATATGTGAAGTCATGTTGTCAATACATAAAGGGGACCTTCCCCTAATAAAAGAGCCTTGGAAAACTCAACCCTGGGTCTCTGACTTGAACTAGTCAGTCATTGCTCTTGTTTTGGGGAGGTAATCGCTTTCATTTAAGACTAATAACTTTTCAGACTTGGATTTTTTTTCCCTTAGTTCTGGGTGGGTGTCATTGAAGAAAGGCCTCTTAGATTTCAGGAGCTAAAACTGCTTCTCTTCTGATGAAAAAACTTGATTATGCTAAACCTTCTAAGATAATAACTCAAATGAGTGATTTTAAGGCCAAGTGAAATGTTTTCTACCACAATCTACTTTCTTCTGTACTCTTAGTTCCTATTAATATGTTCTGGTAAAGAAAAAAATAATGAGGGGTTTCTCTTAGAATTTCTTAAAATATGTCTACCAGCAGGCACAATTGTTTTAATACCCCTCTCCCTCCTGAGAATACTGGATGAGAAAGATTTTCAAACAGCTTTAACTGTTGCCAGATTGTTTTGCTTTCATTTCTTAATCCCAGGCGATTTAACCCATCTACAAAGGGAATTCTGTCTGTAAAATTGTATAAATGCCCTGAGCAGAACCTTCTTCAGCAGCACAAAGTATTTCCATCACGTATGTCATTGCATCAGCCACTGCATCGATTTTCCCACCGTCCTGCTCCTTTTCAGTGTCCGTACTTCCGAAACTAACTAGGTAATGGAGGCTAACGAGGCTGGGATGATCCCCTCGTGAACCCAAGGTCTTGCAAAGGCCAATGGATAAGTGAGGATTTTCCTGCCTTCTAGAATTGATTAGAAAATCTATCTTGTAATTACTGGGATGTTTCTCCATCTTTCAACTTCATTACCATATTTTGGAATACAAAAATCAAGGGTTGGGATATAGTTACTTGAATACTTTCCTGCAATTTGCTAAGCAGACATTCTACCACTTGAGACACACCTCCAACCCTGCCTGTATTTGTTCACGTTACACCAAGTAGGGAAGGAAATGTGGAGGATACTTAGGCTCCCATTTTGGGATTAGCCTGATCACAGAAACCATGTCCCAGTACTCACTGATCAGCTCTATAATGAATGTGCAAGTCTGGGCCACCATATTAAAGTATGGAAAGTGCAAACTCACAAGTTCCCTAATGTCATTTAGGATATGGGAGCCCAGCATTGAAGCAAGTATCCCAGACTGGCATCACATGTTGGGACCTTTTTGGAAACCAGAAACACCAAAAACATCATTTTTTTTTCAAAACTCATAATTTTCATAAGAAAAATGAAAAGTTGGGCCATCTATCTGTTTTTCTATACCTTTTGTAAACAGTTCCCACCTTTTCCATGACAGAGATCAAAGCATTTTTGGAGATTGGGATCTATCTGTCTGGATTGCTCTGTTAATTAAAAAAAAGGCCAGGCAACAGTGGCTCATGTCTGTAATCCTAGCTACTCAGGAGGCAAAGGTTGAAGATAGCCCAGGCAAATAATTCCTGAGACCCTACCTTGAAAATACCCAGCACACAAAAGGGTTGGTGGTGGAGTAGTGCAAGGTGTAGGTCCTGAGTTCAAGCCTCAATACCACAAAGAGAGAGAAAGGATGTTGTGGAAGGACATAAAGGGTCCCTTACTGGTTGTGAGCATAACCTGTGAAAGAAGGGAGGAAAAGGTCCTGAGTAACTGTCTGCCCTGATTGTTCTTTCCTTATATCCGGAAAGGGAATTAACCCTTACATTCCTCTCTCCTCCAACCCCAGTGGTAGAAAAGGTCCCGTCTTTGGAAATCTCCCCTGTGAAAGTCAGTCCTGTGACAGGTTGTGAAAATGGGAGTCCCCTTCTCCTCCTCTGTCACACACACAGTCCACAAGTAGAAACTACTCCTAAGGGCCTCCATCAGCAGGTAGGAGTGAAATAGTTATTGAAAATTCTTATGAGTAAAAAATATTTTACTAGTTAAAAGTACTATTTAGGAATGTCTTCATTATCTTCACAAAAAGAAGTGGTATTGGCTAGGCATCAATAGCTCATGCCTGTAATCCTAGCTACTCAGGAGGCAGAAATCAGGAGGGTTGCAGTTCAAAGCCAACCTGGGCAAATAGTTCATAAGACCCTATCTCAAAAACACCCAACACAAAAAGGGGCTGGCAAATTGGTTCAAGAGGCCCTGAGTTCAAACACCAGTACCAGAAAAAAAAAAAAAAAAAAGGTTGATAAAGTTTGGTGGTGGTGTAAACGTAAGGTGTGTTTTACAGATACCCTCAGAGCTGTTGAGGGTCAGCAGAGAAGTATGAAGTCCTGATTCAAGTGTAGAGCAGTTGCCTAGCATGCATGAGGTCCTGTGTTCAATCCCTAGTACCTCAAAAAAAAACCAAACAAACCTGAGAGCAGCTCTTGGAAGAAGCTAGACTTAAAAATCTCTCAGTTCTAAAAGTGAATTATTTTCTTCTGTAGAAAGCCAGGTGTGAAGCCAGGTGCCAGTGGCTTACACTTATAATCCTAGCTACTCAGGAGAGAGATCAAGAGGATTGTGGTTCAAAGCCATCTGGGCAAATAGTTCATGAGACCCTATCTCGAAAAGAACCATTATTAAAAAAAAAGAAAAAAAGCCAGGTATATATTTCAATATTTTATTTTATTTACTTATTTATTTTTATTCATTTATTCACATGTGCATACATTGTTTGGGTCATTTCTCCATCCTGTCTCCTCCCCCACCCTCTCCCGTATTTCAACATTTTAAAAAGTGTGGTAAGGGTATGCATATGGTATGTACAGCTTCTTAAAGCAGGGCTCTCAGTGCTTGATCACTTGTCTTATCACATGTGCAAGGCCCTGGTTTCAATTCCCATCACTACTAAACAAAGAAAGTAGGGCTCTCAGTTGGTGTATATAGTACCATAGTGTTTGCATTCATAAATGAAGGTCTGAGCCTTCATTTATGTTGTAGTGATAGTACTGTTTCTTTTCTTTAGACTTCACTGGAGGCTTTTAACATATTTTCAAATGTTTTCATCTAAATAATTGCTTCCAAGGTGGCTGCCCTCGGGCGACTCTGCCTAGGGTCATCATTCTGAACAAACCTGTCAAGTTCCGCAGTGCTGTGGTTTCACAGCCTCTTCTGTTGTATTACATCTCTCCCCTTGTGTTCTAAAGGTACTAAATATGTTTTCCTTTTATTCTCTTTCACATTAAGATCCACATGTAACTCCTTTTTCTGAAACTTCTCCCATTTGGAAAAACAAAAACAACCCCCTTCTTATATTAGTTCCTAGGTATGTCAGAGGACTCCTTTGTAAACTTTTCTGAAATATCATTTTGAAAATGATACTTTACCTGGACCAGGTTTCACAATTTTGCTTTTTTTGGGAGGATACTGGGGTTTGAACTCGGGGGCCTCACACTAGCGAGGTAGTCACTCTACCACTTGAGCCATTCCACCAGCCCCAGGTATCTCAATTTTGGTTGTATACACATCATATGAAATTTTATTTATTTATTTATTTATTTTGCAGTACTGGGTCTTGAATTCAGGGCCTTCACCTTGAGCCACTCTACCAGCCCTTTTTTGTGGCTGGGTTTTTTCTAGATAGGGTCTCGTGAACTGTTTGCCTGGGTTGGCTTTGAACCACGATCCTTCTGATCTGTGGCCTCCTGAGTAGCTAGGATTACAGGAGTAAGCCACCAGGTCCAGCTAAAATTTTAAATTGATCAGATGACTATTTAAAATTTTCTTTTGTTCATATGTGCATACAATGTTTGGGTCATTTCTCCCCTGTACCCCCCACCTCCTCCCTTATTCCACCCCTCCACGTCCCTTCCCTCTCCCCCCCTACCCCCTTGCAGAGACTATTTTGCCCTTATCTCTAATTTTGTTGAAGAGAGAGTATAAGCAATAATAGGAAGGACCAGGGTTTTTACTAGTTGAGATAAGGATAGCTATACAGGCAGTTGACTTGCATTGCTTTCCTGTGCATGTGTGTTACCTTCTAAATTAATTCTTCTCGAACTAACCTTTTCTCTAGTTCCTGGTTCTCTTCTCCTATTGGCCTTTGTCACTTTAAAGTATCTGCTTTAGTTTCTCTGCATTGAGGGCAACAATGCTATCTAGTTTTTTAGGTGTCTTACCTATCCTTATACCTCCCAAGTGTGCTCTCACTTTATCATGTGATCTAAGTCCAATCCCCTTGTTGTGTTTGCCCTTGATCTAATGACCGCATATGAGGGAGAACATACGATTTTTGGTCTTTTGGGCCAGGCTAACCTCACTCAGAATGATGTTCTCCAGTTCCATCCATTTACCAGCAAATGATAACATTTCGTTCTTCTTCATGGCTGCATAAAATTCCATTGTGTATAGATACCACATTTTCTTAATCCATTCGTCAGTGGTGGGGCATCTTGGCTGTTTCCATAACTTGGCTATTGCGAATAGTGCCGCAATAAACATGGGTGTGCAGGTGCCTCTGGAGTAACCTGTGTCACAGTCTTTTGGGTATATCCCCAAGAGTGGTATTGCTGCATCAAATGGTAGATCGATGTCTAGCTTTTTAAGTAGCCTCCAAATTTTTTTCCGGAGTGGTTGTACTAGTTTACATTCCCACCAACAGTGTAAGAGGGTTCCTTTTTCCCCGCATCCTCGCCAACACCTGTTGTTGGTGGTGTTGCTGATGATGGCTATCCTAACAGGGGTGAGGTGGAATCTTAGTGTGGTTTTAATTTGCATTTCCTTTATTGCTAGAGATGGTGAGCATTTTTTCATGTGTTTTTTGGCCATTTGAATTTCTTCTTTTGAGAAAGTTCTGTTTAGTTCACTTGCCCATTTCTTTATTGGTTCATTAATTTTGGGAGAATTTAGTTTTTTGAGTTCCCTATATATTCTGTTTATCAGTCCTTTGTCTGATGTGTAGTTGGCAAATATTTTCTCCCACTCTGTGGGTGTTCTCTTCAGTTCAGAGACCATTTCTTTTGTTGAGCAGAAGCTTTTTAGTTTTATGAGGTCCCATTTATCTATGCTATCTCTTAGTTGCTGTGCTGCTGGGGTTTCATTGAGAAAGT